GCTTTGCTGCTGTTTTTAAGCCTAGTCGATAGTTACGGCTGTATTGGTGCACGGTGTCTTCATCCTGGCCTCTTTTGTTGTATTGGCCAACAGTAGAGCCGAGAGAAAGTGCAGAGATGCGAGCCCACCTCACGCTGTTACTGTTTGAAGCAAGATTACTTAAAGAACAAACAGCTAAGTGTAGATTTAAGTTCTGGATTTACGTTTTACATTTAAAACATTTTCGTTCTTAACATAATAACGTACATCTTAAATAATATCGTACAGACTATGTTTAGCGATTAGATCGTTAAGAACTTATTCATGTCGATTTAGTACAACGACATACAACCACTATAATTACTAGAATTCTACAAAGTCATTTACTATCAATAGAGTCCATCATGAATAAATATAGTCATTAGTTTTAAGTAATATAAAACTGTTTTCTTTCTCTGTTCATGCCTGGCGCCCAATATTTGTATTTTTGATTTATTATTGTTAGTTAGTTTCTTTCCAGTGAATTACCTTATCCACGACTGCTCTACCAACGAAAAGCTGCCGTTCGCAGAGGTAATGTTAAAAAAAACGTTATACCTAATTTGAAAATACCTAGTTGAAAAATCATATTATTGTTTATTGACGTTTACTCTTGTAAAGATGGTTTTAAGCTCTGAAGTATCAGCTATTGCTGCTTTAATTGATCATTGTAGATATCAACATTGGGACTTAAAACCATATCTGTTAGAGTAACTGCCCAACAAAGAATAATAGTATGATTTTATATTATATGTGACACGGCTTAAATCTTAAACAATATTTTATAGGTCTGAGACATATGGCTGTAATATAATAAATTCGAAAATATGTTACTTACTTATTTAAAATAAATACAGCTATTAAGATGAATGGAAAACAAACTATCGAGAAAAAATATACCTAGATGACAAAATTATTTTTAAATTCCTTGCTTTGTTATCATACTCCACAAGGTGTTTCACACTTTTACCAAAATATCAACGTTTTGTTTTTCCTCGTATACCTAATTAACAGATGACAACTTTTATTTTTAATTTATTTATTTTTATTATATTTTTAGATATTAAAAAGTCAAATAATTTAGCTACAAAGTGCTTAAAAATTCATCAAAATCGGTGAACTAGGACACAATACATAAAACTTTAAAATACATAATAATAATAACAATAATATATCATTTATTTGTAGTTGAAATCGTGCATGAAAATTTTCTGGTGACCGTTTTTCACAATGTAAAATGCTATTTTTTTAAGTAAGAATGTCAAATGTTGACATAGAATATATCATTCTATTCGGAAATTAATTTTCTATCAAATTAAAAAAATATCGATGGTGTCATTGAAAAACTAACATTCCTTATTATTTTTACCAAAAAAGTGTGCATAATATTTGTGGATATTATAACATTTTTTCTTTTTCTAAAATCCTATCTTTAGTTATACAGACTATATCATTCCAAATTGGTTTACAGTTTGTCCTAGTTACACTAATTAATTAGATTCATTAATTAACATTCAGTTACGGTAGATACCCGATAGTGTAAACATTACACAATGGAAATCCCGCATAATGTGAGCAACGTATTAATTATGCGGGCCACCATAAACAAATTACGCCCACATTTACAGTGTCGAATGACAGTTTTGAATGAGGTTAGAAATAGAAACACCAATTAACATACAGGGTGGTCCGAACTGTATTCCCGAAAATAGCATCCGGTAGCATATTCTGCACATAAAAATAAGTAAAAAAGTTCGTATAAATGTATGTCCTAAAATGCTTCGTTTCAGAGATACAGGGTGTAGAGATTTCATTTTTATTTTGATTTATTTCAAATAATTTAAGAAGTAAGGTCAGTATTTGAATGAAAATTGGTGTCTGGGAGTTTTTTGACATGAGAAATTTGATTTTGGTGTCAATATGACTCCTATTTGTAGGGGGCGCCACTCACATGTGTTTTAATTGTTTTGAAGAGTAATAACTTTTCGTCCGTACCTGTATAAAACTACTGAGTAAAAAAATATACATTTACGACATTTTTTGCGTAAAAAAGGTCTCTTGGTAAAAGTCGTTTCGAGTAATAGTTCTCGAGATATTTGTGAATCGAAATTATCAATACCTCTCATCATTGACATAAATTAAACATGTTGACTAAATAGTTATTAAACTGAAATCATAAATTTGAAATGTTTTTGTGCCAAAAGTTCAACAGAAACTGTACTATCATATTTTTTTTCACAAATTTGTGATTAATTTTAAAAAAATATCCCACAAATTTATTATTTCAGTCAAATAACTATCTACTCTCAGCATGTTTATTATTTGTCAATAATGACATGTATTGACTATTTCCATTCTAAATATTTTGAGAACAGTTTTTCGTAGCTATTTTTACCAAGATATATTTTTTAGGTAAAAAGTTACGGAAATGTATATTTTTTTACTCAGTAGTTTTATACAGGTACGGACAAAAGTTATTACTCTCCAAAACAGTTAAAACACATGTAGGTGGCGCTCCTACAAATTAGAGTTATATAGACATCAAAATCAAATTTCTCATATCAAAAAACTTCCAGATACCAATAATTTCATCCAAATATTGACGTTACTTCAGAAATTATTTGGAAAAAATCGAATTAAAAATGAAACTTCTACACCCTGTTTCTCCGAAACTAAGCGTTTTAATGCATACATTTATAGAAACTTTTTTACTTATTTTTATCTGCAGAATATGCTGCCGAAGTTTCCGGAATACAGTTCGGACCACCCTGTATAGTTTAATTAAATAATTTAGAGATTAATAATTTATATATTCTCAATAATGACAAGTTAATTCTCTTCTGAATAAAGTAAAACAATATAAATTTACAGGAAGATCGCTAGGATTTTTGTTGGTAAATAAAAGGCTAAATTTATTTAAATGCTATACAGATTATGATAATTTATACAAAGCTGGCAATTCTGTTACTATATACAGTTCAGTATTTAATTAAACATTGTTTGGATTGTTGATCTTCTTTGTGAATTGTTTATTTCACGTTCGGTTATTATATTAGTCAATATTTGCTCATTACTAATAATAATACAAATAAACCACACTTTATAATATAAAATTTCTAAATTGGTGTATAATTTAAGGATAACCTGATAATCGAACACAAACATAACAAGAATTTGAATAATATATTTTGGAACCCGGTATATCTATTGATATTATTTATTAATAATTCCTCCAATTTTAATATTCATTGCAAGTTATAAAAAAACATCGCAAAAAATACCCGAACTGCAATAAAGATTTTTTTTTTCAGCAGAAATGTACGATTAATTTAAGAATTATATCTCCAGTTGATAATTAAATTTAAAAAAAACTTTTTGATAAAAAATTTATTTATTTTTTCTTCTAGATCAATACTTTTTATATTAAATTTGTCACAAAAACGTTACTTACTCAAAATTTAATGAAGCATTGACTCTAAGTTAGTAAAAATGCAATAATTTTTTTGTTTCAATGTACCCAAACATGCTTAAAACTAAAAAACTTTTATTTGTTCATAGAAACTTAAATTTGTACAAATTTTCCCAAAACTCATAAAATAAACCGGAATTGTTCGAATTATTAATCAAAAACTGTTAAAATTATTGTGCATTGAAGTTTGACGATGAATATCTTTTAAACGGATAATTTAATCGCCTAATCATAAAACCACTTTTGTAGAGCAGTGAATTTCGTACAAAACCATAAGTTGCGAGTATCATAATGATTTTTTGTTAACGAGAATAAAATTCATAAGAAAAAGTAAATCTGCCTTAAAATAATCAAACTTCAACCTTTAATAACTTTCGAACAGTGAGGTTTACAAAAAAAATTTAAGAGACCTTTTTTGTAGAGAATTCAATTTCTTACAAACATGTGAGACGAAATATTTTTTCTAAATAGTAGATACCGAGATATGAATTTTTCTTTCTAATTATAAGAAAAAAATATAAATCTGAAAGATGGATAATCTTCCTATTAAAATTAAGAGCTCATACTTGGAGATAATTTTTTGAGGTGTCTACCAACCTTTTTTCAGAGTATAAAGTAAAAAATAGTCAATTTTTGACCCACCTTTGTAAATGCAGAGAATTTTAAATTAAATTAATACAATAAATTACCAAATCATAATTTATTAAATTATGAAATATTTCCATTTTTTAGTCGATTTTTTTGACCTATATGTATATTATTTAACTTTTATTTTTACCGTGCTTTTATTTTAACTGTGAACATAGGGCTTAACACAGTGCAATGCTATTTTGCTAAGTATGTTCATTTTTAAACCGGAACAGTCAATGCATTGGATTAGAGTGAATAGTATGCAACCAATACTCACAGAACAAATAATATTTTTTGTTTTATTTGGCTAAAAATAGTTCTAGCTCAAAAAATTACCAAAAATCCTTTTTTGAAAAAATTTCGATGACAAAAAATATTCTGAATTTTAATGCATGTCATTAAAAATTAATTTTTCAGCGAAAAAATAGTATTGTCTGTCGGTATTTCATCAATGGATGATAAAAGGTTGGTCATGAACTAACAACAGGGGAGTGATTTACAAATTACAATGATTGACGCCTATGTTCACAGTTAAAATAAAAGTACTTTTGGTATAAATAGATATCCTAAAACCACACAAATGACGTTGTCAAATCTTGAAAAAAAGGATTATATTAAAGCTGTCCTCAAATTCACTGTATAATCAAAGGGTTTGTTTACGTGTTGCTTGTATATGTTGGATTAAAACAAATCATCATAGTCAGTCTATATTTTATATATGCCTATTATTATTATCAACCAAAACTACTTAAATTTTGAAGGGTATAACTCCCCATGTTATTTCATATTTATTACACTAATATTTCAACTAAAATCAAGAACTCAGTGTAAAATTTACAAAATAATTACTCATTTAACCAGTAAAACAGCAATAAATTCTGACCTTTCCACCAACTATGCTGATTCCTAAACTTTTGTCCGGCTCCCGATATACTTTAACCACGTGACTGGAACCCCAGTGTTTATGGATGACGTCGTTCTGGTATCCCTTCATGCTTCCTTGGTCTGAGTCTAGCTGTTTTATTACTGCCATATCACTGCAAATAAATATAAACTTGTTTATAAGTGTTTGACGATCACATATCATATGGTATAGGGTTATCAGATTGTATACAAGGTATTTAAAAGAACATGTGCCATCTCTCGTGGGGAGATGCTCTCGTTAAATTTGTTGTATAATTTAAGATACCGATCAGCTCTTCATTTTACTTTATAGAGCAAATGATTCTAACAGATATTTTATTTAGATTAAAGCTGCAAAAATTAGTTTAAACCGAATTTTATTACCGTTATGTTGGTCACATTGCGCCGTTTTCAGCAAGGTTGTGGTTCATTATTTTACAATTATCCTAGTGTCAGTCATTATTTTGTATAATATCGTGTTGTTGAATCTTTGTGAGTAATTATCGTTTTTTACCTATTTTTATAGTCTTTTTTTAAAAATTGTACTTTTAAGCACAAACAGTTCTTTTAAGGACTAAATTTTCGAGTTTTTGTATTGCATTTCTTGAAATCGTGTGTTGAAAATATACCGAAGCATTTAAACAGTCGAAGCAAAGAGCTTGTAGCTTCCCTGATAAACTATTTTGAACGAGAACGTGACAATAAAGGTCCTTTATTACCCTTGACAGCAGTCAGAGAAGTAAGTTCGATTGATAAGAACATTACACCACTTTCAAAGTTATTTCTACGTTAGTTTTCATTAAATTCTGTGATTATTAGTTTGTGCATTAATAGCACCCTCTTACTTGTTATTACCACTTATGGCGTTGTAAGATAAATAAATAAATAAATAACCAATAATAGCGCTTTGAATAATCTTCATAATGGCCTAGTTTTTGCCAATATGTAATAAGTAAAATAAGCTATAAAACAAATAACTCAATTAATTACTAAATTATTAGTTATTAAATTAAAAACAAAACGTAAAACTCTTTAAAAATTATATAATAAATATATTGTTTGTCAATTTTAAATTAAGATTCATCTCATAAATCTATCACAATCTGGAAACGCTGTCGCCATCGCTTGTCACTCAAAGTTGATGACCTGCATCGGAAATTGTTTTGCGATTACTCTACTATAATATTGTAAAATCCTTAAATTAATAAATTGGCGCTTATCAAGTTTTCCCCTGGACTATTTTATAGATAGCTGGTTACCTATGTATGTATCCTATGTCCTGGATAACTCGTCAGATTTTATTATTCCGCGAAATAAAAAAAGTTATGGGCAATTTTCAAAATGGTCAAAAATTCAAAAAGATCCCGTATCTCAGTTGGCAGTCAAAATATCAACAGGGGGTTTGGGTTGGAACGAATTTCGACCACCTTGTACAATAGATTTACTCTCGCTAACAACTTTTTTAGTAAACGTTCCTGTTACTAGAGTCGCTACTCTAGCAGTCGCTGCTAACAATTACTTGGAAATGCCGACAAATTTCTTTAAAATCCAATGCATAGTTCTTAGCATTTCCGATTTTTACTGTCTCATATACAATATCAAGCGTGCTTTGTATAATGAGAGAGATAATTCTTATGGGAAATTAATTTAACAAGTTGAAACTTGTCTCATTTCGAAGACAACCGTAATGGAAATTGTAGGTGAAGTTGCATTATCAAAGCAGCTACAAACTTAAGCTAAATGCACGAACTCTTAGTTCCAAAACAACTAAAAACTTGACACAAAATAGAGTGGACACAAACTTTTAGTCACTTCATTATGCTTGACCGGCACCAGCGTTGCCCACTTTTATATATTTTCTTTCAATCAAAATATTTTGAGTAACAAAAATAAATTAATTATAAATATATAAACAGTTATTATTTACATCAACAAAACTCACCTTCTTAACAGCACTTAAGGGACATAAAGGGACACTACTACCGCTTTCCCGTTCAAAATATTATAATAAAGTAAGAGTTTTTTACGGCTATTACGCTATCTTGTACATTTCGCACTAAAAGAGGTTTTAAAAAGAACAATGTTCGACTGCAAGGTCTGTTAGTAAACATGTTTAAGCTTAAAGTATCGCAACACTATTTATTTAAACGACTCGCAATACAAAACTAAAGTGTCAAAACGAATGACAGAGTAGGAAATAAATAAATAAATGCGGCAACTTGACATTTTTTACAGCAGAGCTACCACCTGAATCCCCAGCGCGAAATTTAAATTCCAGTTAGTCAGCCCGGTGCCGAATATGTCCATGGTTGGCAACAATGAATTTAAAAACCGCGCCTTCGATTACGTAACTAAAAGTTTAATTGACATCAAATATATATATAATTAATTTCTGTACTTTTTTTTGTTTTATTTATACCCATAGTGATTAAACAAAATAAGAATACTTTATGATTTATAATTGAGATAGAGATTTTTTATTTAAAAAAAACAACTATTGAAATTCCTGAAGCGGTATAAAAATACCTTTTGAGCCTTTATGTATGTATGGATTGTCAGCTCTGAAAATATTTTGATTTTCAAGTCTAATTTTTATATGAGCAAATAAAATATATTTTCCCCTGCGATGTGAGCACCATATTTTATTAAATAATGTTTTAATCTCTTTATTTTTGTGTTGTATTTTAATTGAGTGGAAGCCGCAAGGGCCTATTGTGGCTTATCTCTTTACAACAGGCTAAAAAATATTTTTATTCGTTTCTGTATTTTTTATACAAATATAGGGTTACAAATAAATGTCCCTCCATAGGATATAAACCAGTTTTTTGCATAAAATAAATGCTTTAATATTCAAAAGTCTTTTGTTTAAGTGAGAATATAATTATAGTGTATCATGGAGTCTATACAGGGTGTCAAAAAATAGTGTATCTAACTTTGATGGATGATTCTACAGATAAAATAAAACAAAAAATTATTTAAAAAAAAACAAAAAAATAGTTTTTTCTTTAATTTCTGATCGTCTTTTGTTTATTTTTATTTCACTTTCTGGCAGTTTAGGTAAAACCTTACAACTCCTATATTTAACGTTTTTTTACTATTTTCAATACTGCCGTGACGTTAACGAAAAATCCTTTATCTGAAGAGTTGAAAAATTTTAGTTCTTGTTTGTTCATATTTGTTAATAGGACACTTCTAAAGGGTATTCCAATAAGAGGTTTCGGATGTTGATAACGAATAAAATAAAAGTTTCTTAACATAACTAAAAGTTATTTATGGCAGTGCGTAGCTGGACAATTATACCTGGAACACAATATCTGGTAAATGGCAGCGCACAATTCTTTTGTTGAAATTTTCCACTACTGCTGAACACATTTCTGGAGTTATGTTAAGCGGCCCATACATTATCAAACAAATTGCGCAATGAAGCGATGCGCAACGTTGCGTTGCACAACTGATTCAGCGGTCCATACACTATCAAACAAGTTGCGCAACAAAGCGATGCGCAACGTTCCGTTGCACAACTGCCTCACCCATGCACTTAGTAAAATTTTGATCAAACTTTTTATTAAAAGTTGTGCATTGTTTGAGAAACAATCATGTCCTCAATTGTCATTGCGTCAATTATTATCGTATATACCCTAGATGATATCGATGATACCAAAAAACGAAAAAGAAAACAAAGAATTTGGATGAAAGAACTAAAATATTGCACAACGAAGCGCAACACACACATACACTACACAACGCGTTGCGCAAACAGTCCTGTTGCACAAAAGAATTCAAATATTCTTGAAACTCATCAAACAATTGCGCAACGCATGAAACACTATCATACATTGGCAACTCGTTGCGCAACAGCCTGCGTTGCGCAATTTGTTTGATAATGTATGGGCCGCTTTACGAATTATTCGCCTAATTTCTCCTTCCAATTGTTGAATGGTTTGCGGATTGTTTTCGTAAGCTTTGCTTCTCACATAGCCCAACAAAAAATAATCTAGCGACGTCAGGTCAAGCATAAAGAAGATGAGAACGAACAAGCTGTTAGAGTAAACGGAAAACTATACCGAACGATGATTGATGTTGTTTTATGTTCTTTTTAAATTTCTCTAAAACAGTATGGAAATTTCGAAAAGTACAAACGGGATTAACCATTTTAGAACAAGCAATTTTTTTTATTAAGATTGCATTTTTTTCAAAATGTCAATAATAAAAATGTTTTTCCTCTTGTAAAGACAATCCGGCCACATACTGTAGAATAAAAATCAGTTAGTTTTAATAAGAATTTTGTAAAAAAGAATCGCAAGAACGTCTATGAAATATCTTTTTTCTCTCTGCAAAAAGAAGGAGCGTTAAAAAAAACGACAAAAAGTAATTGCTACATTACCAGCTTTTAAAAGGAACATTAACTTGAGAAAACATTTATTTACAAGAAAAACAACGTCGATAACGCCTCCCTTTTTAGACGAGGAACGCAGCTATTACTCGATGAGACTGAAGTAGGGATGTCTCTAAGTATCGATAAACTCATGTTGTATACTGAATTTATCAAAGTCAGTGGTATCGATAGTTCCAAAGGAATTCAGTACATCTATAATACTGTATACCGATTGCGATAAAAAGACCTAATTTTGTATATCACTTCTTGTATAGTTCTTCTAGAATAAGTTTTATTTCAGACATCGTTAGAAGTTAAAATAATCAAAACTAGTATATTATGTTTAAATGAAATTAAGATGGTAGTAGTAAATACAGAATTTTAAAAAATGTGTTGATTTTTTTGATCATTTATATTCATTTTTATTAAATTTATTCTAAAATTTTTCACACTTTTGATCTACATAAAACCTATCCAATACTGACTTTTGATCTAGTTAAATCATACAGTCTGATAATCACAATATCGTTTCTTTTATAACTAAAACTATGATATTAGATAAAGTGTGTCTCATGTACTACGGAATTATGAAAAATGTTACATTAAAAAATAGGTGTTTTAAGGTACCGGGTGCGTCTCAAAAATGGTTCACCCCTATAACTTTTTTATTTTTTGACTATTAGGAATGGTTGACGTATTCAATTGTTTATGGTCACTTCCTGTTTCACCGGAAATAATTACAACTTTTGATTTTTAAAT